GTCCCACCACGGCTGCCAGAGCGACCTCGCCACCTTTACATCCAGAGACGAGCCTCATCACGGCACACTCCACTCTAATGATGCTGACCAGAGTGTGCAGCGGGTCGTTCCTGGTGCTCATGTTTCATCCACGGTTCCAACTGCAAGCCAAGGAAGACATATGCCTCCGTGTTCCCTCCCTCTCATGAAGGAAGTCACGCAGCCTTGCAGGCTCCAACAAATGCCATTCTACTCCCCTCACAGCCCTTACCAAGGAATATCTCCCCCTTCCCAGCCACCATACACGCACCAGGGTTCCCCGAATGGACCTCAGTCACCACATCAAAAGCACCTGCCCATTTGCTCTCCATCATTGGGTGTGAACCAGAGTCCACAGTTTACACCTCAGCCTGCATTTGAGAGGGCAAATGTGGAGTCCTCGGTTGGATTCATACACGATCATGCCTCGCCCACCTCTCCCGTCTCTCAGCAGCCTCAGTGGACACTTGCAGCACCCTCAGGAGGTACGTTTATTTGTAATATGTACAAAACCAATGCTGCAGAGCCTCCCTCGGGAGCTGATCATTTAAATGATATCACTCAAAGCAATTTAAGGATGAACATTGGTTCGTAAAATTTAAAAATAAGTTCCTTTAGCTGTAGATCCGTGGCCCTGTCGGAAAAAACCTATTGCTTAATCGTCCATAAGCAGACCAGTAGAGTACCACAGGCTAGCCCCATCATCCAGGGTGTATACTTCTGAACCAAAACAGCCCTCTCAGTCAAGAATATAGTACTCCAGTCTGGCTCTCTCCTCCATAGTGTAACTCTGTTTTCTCCTCAGGAACCATAAATGAGTTTGTTCCCAATGCAGCTGCACAAGACAGGAACATCACGCCACAGGTGGGGGAAAATACAGCAACAGCAACAACCAGCAGTCCGAAACCTAAAGATATAGTGCTTACACTGAAAAAAAAAACCAACAGGAAATGGCAGCAAAGCCCCACATTGACGGAGCTACAACCAGAGAATGAATGTTGTTTTTTAAAATGAATAAAAATTGTTAAAAAAAAAATCGAAATTGACTTTTCAGTTAAGATAAGATAATCCTCTATTAGTCCCACAACGGGGTAATTTGCAGTATTACAGCAGCAAAGAGGACAATAAATAAATAAGTAATCTAACAGTAAAGATGTAAAAAATTAAGGAAAACGAAGACAAGATATAATCAGACTGAGTGGTTGAGTCCACATTATTGCACATATGAAATAGGGAATATTACATTTTAATGAAACAGTTAATTGTTTCAGCTCCAGTCGAGATCAACCCTTCAGCTCTAAAGCTGTAAAAGCAGCTGCTCACCATGTATGTTTGCAATTACAGGTGCATATTATTCAGTTATGTGTCGACTCGATATATAATAAAGTGCATGACAATGTGCTTAGGTGGCTGTACAATTTGAGATATTTTCCATTTAGCCTCGGAGCTGAAGAGATCTCTGTAAATCTAGGAAAACAAAATGAGTGTCTGTGTGTGAAAATGATTAATATAATATGATGAATTCTCTCTTTGCAGTCTCCCAACTGTGAGTCTCGTTATGGCCTGGACCCAGAGCTCCTGCCCAGTGTTGTAAGTTCTCTCTTCACATCGTTTGTTGACTGACTTCTGCAGATCCTCCGTCAATGAAAGACCATTTCCTGCTCAGATTCTTTTCAGGCTTTTACCCTTAAGGGAGACACACATCTGCAGCACCTCGAAGCATCGAAAATGCACCATAAAGGGCAACTCCTTTAAATATATATATGTTACAATAGAACCTGCCTCTACTGAGCCACAGTGCGATGTTACCGTCCTCTCTGCTACCGTACGCTGCTCCTCCAGGTTACACCTCTGTCTCTCTGTGTATTCAGGTGAAGGTGATTGCAGAGGATGCAGCAGAGTGGGAGGGCAAGGTCTTCGTCTCAGAGCCTTTTTCCCGTCTTCCTCCTCTGGCATCTACTTCCTGTATCATAGAGGACAAGGGTAAATGCACACAACATTGTATCCATGTCACAAAGATGTGCTCGGTTCTCGATAGCATAATTAACACGATAAGTCAACATTACTCACAGCTTACAGTATTTTCATTCTTTACATGTTTTTGGTACTTAAATTACTCCAAGAGGTAAATCAGACATAAAACAAGAGGAGAAAATGTACCATAAACGTGTTCAATCTAAAGAAAATGGAGATCTACCTTGGAAAACCTTCATGTGATGTGTCTCACTTAATGTTACAGCTCAAGATTAGTTTGTGCTTGCTAAATCATGCAATTTATCAGATACTTTATAGATTAAAAGAAAGTACATAAGTGTGTAAGTAAGTACGTACATATGTAAGTAAATATGTGAGTAAGTATGTATGTAAGTACGTACGTAAGTATATGTATGTGATGAAGTATGAAGTATGTATATAAGTATCTACGCAAGTAAATACATACGTTTGTAAGTGAGTAAGAATGTGTGTAAGTGTATAAGTGCGTAAGTATGTTAGTAAGTATGTAAGTACATACGTAAGTAAAGATGGGAACAAGTACGTACGGTAGTAAGTATGTAAGTACATACGTAAGTAAGGATGTGAATAAGTACGTACGTTAGTAAGTAAGTACATACGTAAGTAAGGATGGGAACAAGTACGTACATTAGTAAGTATATAAGTGCATACATAAGTAAGGATGTGAATAAGTACGTACAGTAGTAAGTATGTAAGTGCATACATAAGTAAGGATGTGAATAAGTACGTACGGTAGGAAGTATGTAAGTACATACGTAAGTACGTTCGTAAGTACTTTATTTGTCCCCCTGGTTTGCAGCCCAATCATAAGGCATTTCATCAAAACACAATCATGGAAGTCACCACTACACATACTCCGATGCATACTTCGCACTTTGCAACAAACGCCATCAACAAATTAGTGTGTAAGGGGTTCGTGAGTTATCAGTTTATTTCCAGAAATATTTTAGTCAGGACAAGGAAAGGATTATGAACGCTGCCTGCACTGGAATTGTTACATTACAGTAGCTTATAGCCACATCAGTGGGGGAGGTTTGTGCTATTCATATTCAGTTGTGAGTTACAAATATAATATTGTGATGTGTTGGTGTGTCAGTCCCCCCCCCCTCCAGTTCTTCCTGTCACCATATTGAGCTTCACCTTACTTTTAAGCCAACCTTCACGTCATTCTCTGTTGAACTCAAGGTAACGCGAGTCCTCTCGCCATCCGCTCCGCCTCGTACTGTGTTCCCTGTGAAGGCCAGACTGCCCTGCTCAGCCGCGTGCCGCTGGGAGCTCTGGTCACGCCTCTGGCCAAACAAGATGCGGGAGAGGTCAGTTTTTAGCTTCTAGACGGATGTTTGCATGGATTTCTAACTCTGCAATTAAACCGTTTAGAGCGACGGTTTCTGTGATATTAGACGTGTGTATTTAATTTGAATGTCTGTGTGTTTTTGTTTTAGAAGCACCTGCCTGTGTGCACCGAGCCAGAGTGTGTGATGGGTTGTGGTTGTTGCGGCGCCTCCATGTGCCCGGCGATGGGCTGGCAGGACTGTGGTCAGAGGTTTTACTGCCCCTTCTGTGGTAAACTCGGTGAAGGTAAGATCTAACGTTGACCGTCTATGCACACGGGTAATAGCTGAGGTTCTGTGTTAAACCTGTAAAATAGCAGCGTTCCCAGCAGAGTTATGGAAATATAACTTCCTGGTCAGAAATGGACCGTTCTATTCTATGCTGCAATTTGAAGCCAATTCGATGTGTTGAACCGCTGCACCTAACCCGAATGTGTCCTGAGTTTTTCTCCCCCCTCTTGTGTCGCAGTGCCGTGGCAACACTACCAGCCCACCAGAGGGGTGGAGGGCGTTCGGGTGGATAAAGACAAGAGGCCTGAACTCAGTATGGGCTCATACGAGATACTCAATTCTCAGAGGGTTCGTTTCACATTTTACAATTGTTAGGTTTGTTTCCATGTTAGCTATTGTTACCTGCTCTTTGACAAACATATGTACATCTGTGTGTGGTGGGAAGCAGCAGTTTGGTTTACTGATCGTGTAAGACAGTCACTTCCTAAAACAGTAATAGAAACACCATTTGATTAGTTTTATCAAGGAGTTATACCAATTATTTGCTGATTATAGCTTCTCAAATGTGAGGAGGTGTTGCTTTTCTGTGTTTTATATCGTTGTAAATTTGATATTTTTGCTTTTGGTCCGACAAAACTAGCAATTTGGCATTTTTGCTCTCTTTTTTTCTGACATTTTGTTGACCAAAATTTTCTTTAGTTGAATAAATCATCGGCATGTTACAGTCGCAATTTGATGTAGAGAAGGACAAGTGTGTATCCTATAACTAGGCAATAACAGTGGAAAGAGTGAAATCACAGCTCCCACAATAATTAATTTGTGCCTTTCAAATAGCTTTGATAGGAGAGATTGGAGAGCTGCCGTGTGTGTGTGTGTGTGTGTGTGTGTGTGTGTGTGTAAACTGCTGTACTTATTTCAGGGTGAACCTGCTGCACTGCTTCTAGCCATAGATGTGTCTGCGTCAGCAGTGAGAGGAGGACATTTGGAGTTTGCAACACAACAAATACTCACTCTGCTCACCTCTCTGGAGAGGTAAAATACACTCCCATCTAACTACAAATGCGCACACACACACACACACACACACACACTTTTTCACAGCCTGCTCAGTAGTATCCCTGTGCAGGTTTAGAATTAGTGGGACAATAGGGACAATGGTCTGATCTGGTTTCCAGCCAGCAGCCTTTTAAACGTTTCATCTGATGTGTGTAGGGAGGATGGCGATGCCTCGTCAGACGTCCGCGTTGGTTTGATGACGTACGACAGTAGGATCCACCTGTACAACCTGAGCCCGGCCCTGTCCCGCCCACACATGCTGGTCATCGCGGAGACAGAAGACCTGCAGCTTCCTGTGAGGGAGGGGCTGCTGGTGCCGCTGAAAGACTGTATAGACAGTATCGACAGGTAACGGAGAGTCTACTTTTATATATCACTCTTCTAAGTAATATTTAAAGGTTATGTTCACTTATGTCCTAGCTTTATGAAGCTAGCCTAATTCTGATGAGCTCGGGTTTTTGTTCCTCCGGTGCCGGCGACGGCGGATTGTCTGTCATTTTGCAGATATAAAACAATGACATTTTGGACGGACGTGGATGTAAACTGCAACTTGACTGGTTGGTGGAGGCAACCAACCACGAGGCAGTAATTCTAGTAATTTAGATTTGAATTAGGAAAGCATCCACTTAGAAACTATTGGGCCCAGCAGCTGAAAGGGAACCGATCATCAAACTATTGCCACTGATTTAGATGATGTTAGATGACGTCTCAGACAATTTGAGACCCCAAACTCTTGTGACTCATGCAAATAAAAGTGACTTTTTTTTGCTACTTTGCTGAAATTATTTTGTTCACTTTGGTGTTCTTTGGCATAAAGTGCTCATCCTCTGTCTTGTTGTCTGTGTGTGTGTGTGTGTGTGTGTGTGTGTGTGTGTGTGTGTGTGTGT